CTTGTGCTAAATCTCTCATTATTATTGCATTAGGTAACTAGAACCAACAAATCCTTCTACCCTTCATTGCTAACCCTAAAAGAACACTTAAAGCCAAAGTTGAAAGGAGACTACATCCTATAGCTTCATCAGTCTACTAATCATAATATCAATGTACATTTTCCAGAGAAAATTCTAGCCATTCATAGACATATAATGACAAAAATACCAAATCTCCATTTCTTCTATGAGAAAAATACTGATAATGTTCACTATCAATGTGGTAAGGCAAAACAAAACCTATCTATTTCCTCCCAACCCTCAAAATGTGAAATAAATGCTAAGTAAATCAGTCTCTGACAGACTTTTCTACTCATCACAGGACTCACTGAATAGGTAAGTGTAACTCCTAATCAGAAACCAATTCTAAGCCATATTCCATCATCAAATTTCCACAGACATTTCCCACACTACCTGGATTCAAAAAGTTCCAAGAGAGAGAACAGCATCTTACTACCCGTGGTCTCTTTACCTTATTTATGTGCAGTCAATAATCTAAGACACAGTAATTTAGCAAAGAGCAAAAGCTGAATAAGCATCACTCAGAGTACTTTTCAGAACGACTTGTTAAAGGTCCAATAAATTTCATATTCTGAAGTTAAATGCACTTTTAAGAGAGTTGTGATGGGAAAAACCCCCACCACCCCCACCACCACAAAATAACCAGTAGAAAACGGACAGTCTTACTGTAACACCCAGCAGCCGTACTCCTAGATACTTACCCAACTGATCTGAAAACTTATTCCACACAAAAACCTGCATACAAATGTTTACAGAAGTTTTGTTCATAATTGCCAAAAACTTGAGGCAATTAAGTCCTTCAATAGGCAAAAAGATTAACTGTCGTCCATCCACACAATGGAATGTTATTCAGTGATAAAAAGAAATGAGCTATCAAGTCACAAAAATACATGTATGATTCTTCATTGCATATTGCCAAATGAAAGCAGTTAGTCTAGAAAGGCTACATAGTATGTGATCTGAATTATGTGACATCCCGGAAAAGTCAAAATTATAGAGACCATAAAAAAAGGGGGCAAGGATACAAATAGATGAAGCATCCTCTGTACTACCTTCCCAATTTTTTCTGTAAATTTAAAACTATTTTAAAATTAAAAGTTAATTCTAAAAAATTATGGTACATTCATATAAAAAATAAATTCATAGGACATGTTCAATGTCTATTATTAAATAATAAAAACAAAGCATAAGATAATATGATTTCATCCCATTATTATAGTAACATTAATACTCAAATAGAAACACAGTAAGAAAGTAGTAGTCCTTGACGTACGACAGAGTTCCATTCCAATGTGTGTCGTAAGTCAGTTCTGACATAAGTTGCATACCCCTTTCTTAATTTGCAGTATTTCCTGTTGTACGGCAATGTTTTAAATAGTAAATCATAACACTGGACATCTGTGAGTGAATATCCGAGAATGATAACAAAAGCATATTACACGTTACAACATGGTATATAGTACCTATTACTAACATAAGACGTAACACAACAACGCAACGCACTGCCATTCAGTCAGATCCAACCCATAGCGACCCCTCCTTGGGTTTCCAAGGCAGTATCACTACGGAAGTAGACTGCCCAACCTTCCTTCTGAGGAGTGGCTGGGAGGTTTGAACCACCAGCCTTCTGGTTAACAGTCAAATGCCTTAGGCACTATGCCACCAGAGCTCTTAACATAAGACATACTTGCCCCAAAAAAACTTCAAAAAAGCAGATGGTCATAAGTGCTGTTCATCATAACATGAATACATAATTAGTTGGAGATGGCCTGTATATACAATATTAATAGGAGTTACCTCCAAGAGCATGAGAAATCATACATTGTTCAAGAAACAATAATATTTTTGGTAAAGAGAAAGTTGTTTTGTTTTGTTTTTTAAAGAAAAGATAATAAAGCAAAGCAGAGAAAGTTGAAGTCCAAAAAGAGTCATTTTTCTATCCAAGCATTCTACAGTTTTTTAAGGTTAGAAAAGCTAGAGAGGTAACAATTCAATGTCAGTCTCAATTTCTCAACTATCAATTCAGATAGCCGCTTCCAAGGCAATGAAGAAAACTACCTTGAAATATAGATTGTATTTCTTTACTTTTAAAATTTCAATTGTTTATTCACTTAAAATGTTGGCCCTGACACAGATGTCATGGCACAAGCTAGGAGAATTCACAGAACACATTAAAATGTTACTTGCATGCAACAATGCTATCTGCAGGGGTCCGGGCCACTGAGATGATAGTCAATGAAGACATCAAGAAATATTTCTGGAAAGTTCTGTAATAAACTTTTTGAATGGAGGTTGAAGAGCACCCCAGCTCATTTTAAATTCTGCCTTTTAAAAGATACCACCATAACATGACTTTAGCTTATAACTTTATATGGATGGATACATGAAGGCTCATTAAAAATTTCTAATATATTCTGCTGGGAGCTCTGGTAGCATAGTGCCTAAGGCACTTGACTGCTAACCAGAAGGCTGGCGGTTCAAACCCATCAGCCACTCCTCAGAAGGAAGATGGGGCAATCTACTTCTGTAGTGATACTGCCTCGGAAACCCACGGAGGGGTCGCTATGAGTTGGGTCCGACTCGATGGCACATAATAACAACAACAACAATATATTCTGCTACTACCTCTGGAAACAAAATCATCTAAGTGAAAATTAGAACAGTTTGTCTTTTAAAAATAATTTTTTAAAAAGAACATTCATGATAAACATAACAGATTCTAGTGAATTAACTATGGTTCTATAACTACCAAATGATAATCAGCACTCTGGTACAGAAAAAACTGGTAATCAACACACACCAATGCACACTGTCCTTACTGTCCAGTAAGAAATACAGCAAGCTTAAAACTGTTAGTCTGTCAGAAAGACTGAACAATCAGAAAGATGGCCAAATAACAAAAGAAAAATTACTCAAGAATTTCCACAAACAATCCAGCAATCTATTACTAGGTATATATCCTAAAGAAGTAAGAGCCAGGACAACAATAGACAAATGCACACTCATGTTCATCACAGCTTTATTTATAATAGCAAAAAGATGGAAACAACCTAGGTGCCCATCAACAGAAGAATGGATAACCAAACTACAGTACATACACACAATGGAATGTTATGCAACACTAAAGAATAATGTAGAATCTGTAAAACACCACATAATGTGGATGAACTTGGAGGATGATGTTGTTGTTGTTGTTGTCATGTGCTGTCGAGTCGTCTTCGACTCATAGCAAGCCCTCCTTGGAGGACATAATGCTGACTGAAATAAGTCAATCACAGTAGGACAAATAATGTGTTAGTTCATTATTGTAAAAAGTCAAGGAAAGGTTTATATATGGAAGGAAACTTACTTTCCTGCTTACCAGGGAGCTCTGGTGACACAGTGCCCAAGGCATCTGACTGCTAACCAGAAGGCTGGCAGTTCAAACTCACCAGCCACGCCTCGAGAAGAAGGCTGGGCAATCTACTTCTGCAGTGACATCACCTTGGAAACCCAAGGAGGGGTCGCTGTGAGTCAGATCCAACTCAATGCCAGTGAATTAGTTAATTAGTTAAGGGTGGGAGGGGAGGGAAGGAAACACTGTAAAAATAAAATTAAAGAAAAAAAGAATCCCCAGTGTTCATCGTAGCACTATTTACAATAGCCAAAACTTGGAAACAACCTAGATGTCCAACAACTGAGGAATGGATAACCAAACTTTGGTACATTCACACAATGGAATACTATGCAACGCTAAAGAATAATGTAGAATCTGCAGAACACCGCATAACGTGGATGAACTTGGAGGACATTATGCTGAGCGAAATAAGTCAGTCACAAAAGGACAAATATTGTATTAGTCCGTTATTGTAAAAGTTAAGGAAATGGTTATATATTGGAGGACATTTTCTTTGTTGGTTACCAGGGGTGGGAGGGAAGGGGAGGGAATGCTGTTAGATAGATAGAGATAAATATTGATTTGGGTGAAGAGAAGGGCAATGTACCAAATGTGAGTGACCAATATGGCAGCATTGAGGATGAGAAAGACAGAGAGAGTTACATGGGCAGTACAAACAACAAATATGAACCCCTTTGTAAATACAATACTCAGTTGTTAATGAAAGCAAATATGGGTATAGGGACAGATAGATGGGTGAACAAGCTAAACAATTATGTATGTCTAAATGGAGAGTGTATCCAAGATCATATACAGGGTTGGCAGACAATGGGCCTCTCGAAGAGTATGAAGGGATGGACACTGGGAGGAGGTAACTATGGGGAGGAAGTGGGAGGGGAGCTGCTGCATTGTAAATTTTGGTCAATGACATGAGACAAAGTATATGTGAACTGCTGTATGAAAAGTGAATTTACTCTGTAAATCTTCACCCAAATCCTAATAAAAAAAAAAAAAAAAGAATCCCCAGGAATAGCTCAGCTGTAGGTTCACACCCACCATCAGTGCCCAGAGTTTTTTGTTTTTTTTTTTTTAAATCACCGTCAGTTTCAATGAATTCTAGGCAGATCACTGATTTTTCTTGAAGGAAGGGAAATGGTAGGAGAGGGCAGAGAACTGGTGTGTCTCTAACAGTTTATTTCCTTTCCCTTAATATCTTGAAAGGAGCTCTGGTGGCACAGTGGTTAGAACATTTGGTTACTAACCAAAAGGTCAGCAGTTTGAACCTACCACCTGCACCATGGGAGAAAGATGAGGTAATCTGTTTCTGGAAAGATTTATAACCTTGGAAACCCTATGGGGCAGTTCCACTCTGGCCTACAAGGTCACTATGAATCAGAATTAATTTGATGGCAATGGGTTGGTGATTTTGGTAATATTTTGTGAAGTTCTGTCAGCATCTTATTTATTAGAATAATAAAACAGTCATTTAAATAGTAGTAGTAGAGAAGGGCTTAATGTACTAAAATACCAGGTAAAGAAGAAATACCTACATGATCCTACTTACAAGAGTTGTGCCGACGACGGAAACTTTTGGACTGACTCAAGGATTCCACGTGTCTGTCCACATAGCTTTTTGAGCACTGTTGCTGTTGTGGGGAAATGGCAACATCTTGGCTCTTCATATCTGTCCTCTTAGGGATGTTCTGAGGGGCACTGCTGGAGGAGGTTGGCTTTTTGACCAACTTGCCCATGCCATTCTGATTGATACCCACTTGGTACCCAACACCAGAGGGGCCAAATTCTGTCTGATGAAGATCTCCAAAATGTTGGCTATCTCCAGGACTTGGTATCTCCAGAATTTTTAATTCCGTAATATCGCCTGCCCTGAAATACACAAAAACCCCAAGTCTCAAAACAATAATAGTGATAATAGTGATGAAACAGGGATCAATAGCAACCAGCTGTACCTTTGCAGGGCTGCATTTCAATGAATATCAGAGGCAGAAACTAGGAAAGGTGGCAGAGCACTCAGAGACAGGGACCAGATACTCACATTCAACTGACACGGCCATGGCCCACAGTTAGTAACAACAAAACTATTGTTATCATCTTAAATTTCAGAACGTTCTGTGGGGTTTTTTTTCCATTCATTCACTCACACACTTACTCACTCAACAGGCATATATAGAGCACTTACTATGTTCTAAGCTCTGAATTAGGAATAGGGTATGGAAATGGAAACTAATACATACATATTCATAAGCAACTCATAGTTTGGCCAGGAGTAAAGACAAGTTGATGATCAAAGTGTCAAATGCTATGACAGAACTGTGCACAGGGGACTAGAAGAGCCGAGAAGCAGAATATCTAAGTTATTTTGGCAAAAGTGGATGCAACATTTCAACTAAATCTATACAGGGAGGGGGAAATAAGAGTTGGCCAAGCAGAGGATGACAGAGAAAAGGGAATCTGAGGCAGAGGCTCAGAGATGGGGGAAAAAATGGAAAATGTGGCCCATCTGAGTAGCTGTAAGCATTATGGTACTACTAAAGGGAAGAATGCTTACGGAGGGCCATCAGGAAGTAAGGTTAGAGAAGTAACCAGGGGTCAGATTTAACCATTTTACCATTTTCTGATAGGTATAGGGCAAGTGGAGAAACTAGAAGCAGGGGTACCAGTAAAAGACCAGGTAAGAAATTAAGAGAAGATAAATGGGGCATGTGATAATGCAAAGGGAGAGGGAAGAATGGAGGCCAGAGACATTTAGAATCCACAGGATCTGGGGACTAACTGAGCATGAGGAATAAAGAGATGGTGTATGATGACCCCTAAGTTTCCAACTTAAGTGAAAGGTATTATTAGTTACCAATAATGGGTACACATTAGAAGAAATGCACAGGTAAACAAAATTAAATTAAAGATTAGGGGGTCTCACTATATCAGAAGGTACACATTAGATTGTCTAGACTACAAACTGAGAAAAGAACTAAAGATTGCTTCATCCAGAGCAAAGAAGAATGAAGAAAATCAAAGATTCATGGAAACAATTAGTCCAAGCAACTAGTACATCATGAGATCCGCAGCCTATACGACTATGAGACCAGATAAACTAGATGGTGCCCAGCTACCACTGTCAACCACTCAGAGGAGACTCTGTGTAGGAGATTCTGGACAGAGTGGGAGACCAATGTGGAACAAAACTCAAAATCATTTGGTGGGGGGGAAGGGGACCCAGTTTTCTGGTCTCATAGATCATGATAGAACCACTGAGACTATGGCTCCTAGCTGCCCTTCAGGTCTGGCATTGAACCTATACCTGTGGCTTCCAGCCAAACAAAAGACAGGCATATGAGGTGAACATTTACGATACGCAGATACACTCCTTGGAGAGAACAATCATGGGAGAACAGAAGGTCTGTGTATACACAGGGACATAGCTCAGGGGTCAGGAGTGCATGAGAGGGAAGGACACAGGGAAGAGGTAACTATGGGGAGGAAGTGAGAGGGGAGCTGTTGCATCGTGGTTAATTGTAGTCAACGTCATGAGACAAAAGTGTATGTGAGTTGCGGTATGGAAAGTGAATTTGCTCTGTAAACTTTCACATAAATCACACACACACACAAAAGATAGAACCCTGAGTAAATCAATCTTAAGAGGTAAGGAAGAAAAAAGGAACCAGTTTAAAAAAAAAAAAAAAGATGTAAAGGAATAGAGAAATATGCATAAAAAACTCAAATTGGTACAGAGAAACTAAAAGAAGAGGGCACTTCAAGAGTTAGAGAGCATTCAAATAAAATTAGAATTAGATACTGCCACTGATTTTAGCAATTAGATTATTTGTAACATCAGCAAGAGCTAGTTCAGCAAGATGGTAAAGTTAGAAAAAAAGGCAAAGGTGGAAGGAATAATGAGAGAATAGAGAATGAGATCACAAAGGGAGTAAAAAAGGACTGCTTTGCTCTGTAAATAATTTTGAGTATAAACGAAAGAGAAATGACAAAGCAATACCTAGTAACAAATGCAAGATCAGGGTGGGTGTTTCTTAATATGGAATCAGGAAAGTCAGAATATGAAAAGGAAAGTGGCACTCTAAGGGTTGAGACTGAAGAAATAAAACAGAATAGGGTCCCATGTTGTTGTTGTTGTTATTTGCCGTCGAGTCGGCCCCGACTCATAGCGACCCCTCCTTGGGTTTCCGAGGCAGTATCACTACGGAAGTAGGATTGCCCAACCTTCCTTCCGAGGAGTGGCTGGTGGGTTTGAACCGCCAGCCTTCTGGTGAGCAGTCAAGTGCCTTAGCCACTATGCTACCAGAGGGTCCCATGTTGTTGTGTTGTTGTTGTTATGTGCCGTCGAGTCGGCCCCGACTCATAGCAACCCCTCCTTGGGTTTCTGAGGCAGTATCACTACGGAAGTGGGATTGCCCAACCTTCCTTCCGAGAGAGGGTCCCATAGGAGGTAGAAAAGGGATAACATAAAGCACAGATGGTAAGAATTACTCAGAAAGTCGAGGAACCTCTTGCCAGATAGTCTCTTTTATTTATTTATTTATTTATTTATTAAATACAGAAGAGAGGCTCTCTGTCAAACTGGTGGAAAGAGAGATGAAAGGACAGCAATTGAACTTGAGATCTGTTGAAAATTACTAAGAAAAATGCTTTTTGGTAACTAAGGACTTTAGCTATTGGCTCCAGTGTGCTTCTGGGGATAAACTATTTCACATATCTACAAAGAGAGATATATTCATGCAGGGAGAAAGCAATCATAAGGGCCTTAGAAGGGAGAAAGCACAAATACTACAAAACTGAGAAAGAAAACCTGAAAGCATAATAGAGAAAAATAAAAGTTGATTCTGAGATTGAGCCATTTAAATAGTACTGTGTACTCGACAAATATATGAAAAAGGTTTTACAAACTCTGAATCATTAGCGAAAAGCTAATTGCAGCATGTTTCTGCTAGGAATAGCAGCTGGACCGCAAGACCTAAGACTACAAATCTCACCCCCGACAAGACTCTAGTCAAAAGCAGCCCTATGGAAGACAGTATTGGCAATCAGACCTAGGCTGAAGTTCCAGAGACCATCAGGGTGGATATGGAAGAATCAGTCAGGATACTCACCTGAAGGTGACTTCTGGCACGAGGCACTTCACTCCATTGTGGAAAGGCCGAGTCAGAGAGATGGTCTGGCTGATCTGATCCACCGCTGACACTCTTCCCTGATAGACACCCAAGCTATCTCCACAGTTGATGGACACAATACTGCCCAGCCAATCTGTAGCCATGTTTCAGATGTGAGATCACCGTGAAGAGAAGGAACCATTCAGTGTACCTTAAGAAACATACAGATCTTTAATTTAATTTAGCATATATTAACTGGTACAGGCTCTGTACCAGGTGTTAACTTAATAATACATATTCTGTCACACTCTTAACTAAGGTAATAAAGCACTGTCGTTGTTGTTGTTATGTGCCGTGGAGTCATCTCCGACTCATAGCGACCACTCCTTGGGTTTCTCAGGCGGTATCACTACGTAAGCAGATGGCCCAATCTTCCTTCTGATGAGTGGCTGGTGGGTTGTTCTGAACCACCAACCTTCTGGTCAGCAGTCAAGTGCCTTAAGCACTATGCCACCAAAGCTCCCAATAAAGCACAGGGAACAAATTAAAACTTGTTTTCAACAGGAATGCACATGGTATAAGTAATGTAATTTAATAAGCATAAAGGTCTTATGGTTGTTTTAAAGCACATGCACTATATAAAGAAAATATTTCCATAGACCTCAGTTCATATAAACCACAACTTGTATACACTCAAGAGTATTTTAATCTATCTCCCAGTAGAATGCTTTCAAAGAGAATATACTCCCAAGAAACTACGTGTGAAAAAAAAAAAAAGTACTGGTGATGCCAGAACAGCTTATGCCAGACTAAATCTTCTGCTGATGATAAATTCTGGACAAAATTTAAAAAACAAACAAAACTGTCTGATGGCACTATAGAACACTATACCTAACAACTATAGAATATACATTCTTTGCAGGTCCGCATGGAATGTTCATCAACATATGCTTGGACTTCAGTTGTTGTTGTTATGTGCCGTCGAGTCAGACCCAACTCATAGCGGCCCCTCCTTGGGTTTGAACCACCAGCCTTCTGGTTAGCAGTCAAGTGCCTTAGGCACTACACTACCAGAGCTCCAGGGACTTCACTAGTATCGATAAACTTCAACAGATTGAAATCATTGAGTATATTCTCTGGCCAAAAAAAAATTACAATTTGAAATCAATACCAGTAAGATATTTAGAATATTCTCAAATATTTGGAAATTAAGCAAGATATTTTTCTTTCTTTTCTTTTTTATTGTGATTTGGGTAAAAGTTTACAGAGCATATTCACTTTCCATACAGAAGTTCACATGCACTTTGTCTCATGACATTGACCACAATTTACCACAATGCAACAGCTCCCCTCCCACTTCCTCCTGATAATTACCTCTTCCCTGTGTCCATCCCTCCATGCCCTCCGGCCCCCTGAGCTGTCGCCCTGTGCATAAGCAGCCCTTCTTTCTCCCACAATTGTTCTCTCAAGGAGTGTATCTACCTCAGGTAAATGTTCAACTCATATGTCTGTCTTCTGCTTGGCTGGAAGCCACAGGTGCAGGTTCAATTCCAGACCTGACGGGCAGCTAGGGGCCATAGTCTCAGTGGTTCCACCAGGTTTTATTGGACCAGCAGACCTGGTCTCCACCACCCCCTTTTTTTTTCTTCAAATGATTTTTAGTTTTGTCCACATTGTTCTCCCTCTCTATCCAGGACTTCCTACATAGATCCCCTTCCGAGTGGTTGACATTGGTAGCCGGGCACCATCTAGTTCTTCTGGTCTCATAACCATATAGGCTACAGACTGGATGGTGTACTAGTCGCTAGGACTGATTGTATCCATGAATTTTTGGTTTTCCTCATTCTTCTTTGCTCTGGACGAGAAGACCCATTGTTGCATCTACATGGCAGCTTGCAAGCTTTTAAGATCCGAGTCGCTACTCACCAAAGTAGGAGGCGGAACAATGTTTTGTGTAGTATGTTATGCCAATTGAGCTTGATGTCCCCTGCGACTATGGTCCCGAGCCCACA